TAAAGAGCAATTCTTTCAAGGGTAAAATGTAATTTTTGGGGGCAAACTACAAAATCTAAAACTTTTAATTGGTAAATTGTGAATTCTAAAACTTTCAATTGGTAAACCATAATTTTCAGGGGAAACTACAATTTTTGAAACTTTAAGGGAGTGAACTGTAATTTTAGGGGGTGAAGTGCAAATTTTGAAACTTTAAGGGGTAAATTATAATTTTATAGGCAGTAAACTGTAAATTCAGAACCTTTGAGTGGGGTAAACTGCAATTTTTGGGAGGGTAAACTGTAAATTTTGAAACTTTCTTTGGGGTAAGTTGCAATTTTTAGGGGGGGGATTGCAAATTTTCTGGAATGCAAATTCAAAAACTTTAAGGAATCAAACGATGCCTTTAAGTTTTTAAAACTAAGGGTGTTTAAGTGCTGTAAGTTTTAAAAATTTTAAGGTATTTAGGTATAATTTTTAAAATTTTAGGATATATAGCTGCTGTTAAAACAAATGAGAGCATACAAGTACAAATTTTAAAAACACTAGGGATATACAAGTGCTGCCCAAAGGAAGTGATGATATATAAGTGCAAAGTATCAGAAACACTATATAAGGTATTTAAGTACAACTAAGCCGAAATAAAATGAGAAAGCACACTGATTGAAACCCCGTATCTTTTAATGAAGCGAGTCACAAGTCGCAGCAAATAACAATCGAATTCCATTATCCGAGCTACTGTTAATAAGAGAAAGGAAGAAGAGAGATCGGGAAAAACAAAGACTTTTTATGAGGCATCTAGCTTTTGTTAGCAAGACCTTCGGCCACAACAATTGTGCTTGTGACACTTGCGCATCGCACGTGAGCGACGGGGAAGAATCACTCTAGAAAGAGCCTCCCAACTTCAATCTATTGGATAACACGACACTTTTTCCGCGACGGAATTTATGCGAGTAGATCTAAAATACTTTTTAAATATTTAGAATAATAGATCACGTCAAGATATTGTTTCTTTTGTATGCTTTTTGTGATGTGGCCGTATGCGACCTTTTGGCCCATTACGTATAGCTTACGTGGTCCGTTGTTTGAGCAGGGATAGTTAGAATATCTGGAAGCATATTCTCAGTGGGGTGGAAATGAACCAAATAATTAACAAATAGTTCGATAATTGTTCGAAAAAGTATTCGGTCATATTCGATTCGGTAGTTCATTTACCACTAAACAAATATTTTTTAGTATTCGAGTTTACTAACGAATAGAATTTAACCAGATGTATATTCGATTCGTTTGTCTATTAAATATTCGTTTAAAATTTGATCACATCATATTACTTGTATAGTTGTATTATTGCACATATGATGTCATATTTTTAACCTACATATCATTTCTACTTGAGCTTTATATCCTGATTTTAAGACTTAAATAATCTTAAATCTGTTTTCTAATTAAAATTTGATTTAAATATATATACATCATATATTATGAAGGAATAAATTTTATTTATGAATTTAAATACTATTTGAAAATCAAATTCTTTAGCGGAATAAATATACTTTGATATTCGATAAGTATTCGTGAATATTCATGAATATTTATCAAATACCAAGTATTCGAGTTCGAATTCGAAAAACTAGATATATGAATTTTAGAGTCCACATTCGAATTCGATAATTTTAAACAAATACGAATACGAACATCTTAGTATTCGATTCGATTCGATCGTTTTCCACCCCTAATTCTCACCCCTCCGTTTCAGGAGGTGATCTGATTCACAATGAGCGGACCGGGTTTAAATTTGTACCTACAAGTAGCAATATGGTAATGAAAATCTATTTGTTATGCTTCATAGAGTGTCACGAGCTAAACTGCGCCCAAACCTATAAAATCACTTATTAATTGATAAGCAAGGGCAACAATAAGCTATAACTAAGGGCATCTCCAACCCAACCCCATTTTGGTGCAAACAGTGTTTTTTTGTTGCACTGTTCCTTCTCCAATCCAGTCCCAATTTCTGCTCCATTTTGGTGCAAATGAACAGTGCTGCACCAAATATGGCGTCGCACTATTCATCCGTCCCATTACTGTTCACTTTTTTTTTAAATTTTTAAATATTTGTTTTTATCTCTCAATTAATATAAAATTAATATAAAAATAGATAAAAGGTAATAAAGTGAGAATATACTAAGAATATTCTTTTTTGGTGCAAAAAATGGTGCAATGAGTTGGAGATGTATTACTGTTTGATGTGACTTTTGCACGATTTTGATGCAAAATTTGCACCATTTTGGTGCAATGGGTTGGAGATGGTCTAAGTAGTCTCAAATGAAAAGGAGTTACACAAACACTTACGAAAGGACTCGAAATTTCCGTTTCTTTTATTGAGAAATCAAATGTAGCAAGGGTGGAGAATTGAGCTTGTTAATTGCAAGTCTTTTTAAATGCAAATCGATCGATCACTGCAATTCTCAAAACAAAAAAGGTAATAAAAAAAATAAAATACTGCATCTATAACCAACACACTGATCACTAATATAATAAGGTTAGGCCCCGTTTGGCAAAGGGTTAATGAAGAGGGGTTAAAGAGAAGGATTAATGTACTTAGCCCATTTGATAATCCGAAGGACTAAATTATTAACCCGTTAAATAAGTTTTATTTTAGCCCTTATGATCAGTTTTAGTGTTTGGGAATAACAATGATTTTGACTATTTTCTTTATAATTAGAAGGGTTAACTCTTATTCCATCTAAATAGGAGTATTAGTAAACCCCTCATTTTGAGGGGTTAACTCATTTTAACCCCTCTAGAGGGGTTAACTTAACCCTTCTATATTTTTTATGTTTGGCAAATTATGGAGGGTTAACTCACTTTAACCCTTATATAGATTTGTTGTGTTTGGCAGGTTAAGAAGGGGTTAAGTCTCCTTAACCCCTCACTTGACCCTTTGCCAAACAGTACCTTAGAGTATAACTAATTAGTCATGAACGGCGGCAGAGTTACATACAATCTAGTGGGGGCAAATGCTCACACTGAATATTATTTTGGATTTATTTTTGGTTATATAAATATTATAGGTATTATATTTACTTTTGAGACACAGCACTAACATTGTGCCCCCTTGTAATACTATTGGCCTCACTTGATACTTTGGATATATACCTTTCAGAATTAATTTATTTAATTTTATTATAGGTCATTGTGATGAAAAATCGTTGAGGAAAATTGTAAATCTCTTTCTTTTGATGTTGGAATGTATTAATCAATTAATTTTAGCGGAATTATAAATATTACATTTATTTATTTACAATTTATTGTTTCCACTACCCGATGGGGTATTGGCTCTGCCAGTGGTCAAAAAGGAAGGGGAAAAAAAAAACCAATTTGATGTCATCCTTAGTATTCCTATACTCAGCATAGTAATCAATGATAGATTCATCGTAACCTTGTCAATCTAATGTGTAATCTTATTGACATAATATTAGAGACTTGTTATGCACAATTTGTGAAGACACATTCAGCAATCTACACACAAGCTAGCTAATTAGAATAGCTAAATAACGACATTTCTAGAAACCCTCCTTCATTGTTTGGTTAGATGGAAATAGAGTTGCAAAAGTAAATAGAGTAAACTAAATTTATAAATATATTATTTGATTTACAACTTTATGATTAGAAAAGTTAAATAGACTTGCATTTTGTAGGAAAAAACTTACAGCAAATGCTATAACTAATTTGATGAGAGGAAAAGTTGCAAGCTTTAAAAAAGGAAAAAAAAAAAACTCAACTCATCAAAATGAATTTTTTTTAGATCCAAACAGAAAACCCTCTATATAAAAAAATCGTTCATGACAAAGTTAGGTAGATTTTTCTCTAATTAATTTTTAACTAAACACCGAACTTGTATAGAAAATATACTCCCAACAATATAATTGCAGATATTCAAATAACAAATTAAAGTTAATTTCCTACAATAAATGCTGCATGTTGCAACATTTGCTACAATATTTCTCGCAACAAACCAAACGGACCCAAATTCGATGTCTTCCCTTAATCTCCTCCGCCACTATTCAATATGTAAATCTAATTTAGTAGTCCCTCTCCGTATCAAAATCAAAAGGTTGCCTCTTGTGATCAAGAGGACGATTGTCGCTCATAAAAGCAATCCATGAGAGCCATGGTCGCTCGAGTATAATCCTTTTTTCGACTCCTTTTTGGAGTTTGGACGTTCTTCAAACCTAAGGGGGTGTTTTGTTGCATTGTTTTTGAGAAATGTTTTCTCAAAAGTACTGACGCATGACATTTATGTAATTAGAGTTTTCTATACATTTCTATAAACTGTGTTTGGCTCCAAAAAAATTTACAGAAATGTTTTCTGTAAAGTGCCCAAAAGTACCAAATTTTATGGAAATTGATTTCCTTCTAAAATGGGAGGAAATCTCTTGGAAATCTGACGCATTCATTATTTAAATAATAAAACTCATTAACTATTTTCTACAAAGTTCTCACTTTTCTATAAAGTTGGTAGTGTTTGGTTACATTTCTATAAATTATAAGAAATGTTGCTATTTTCCCAAAAGTTACTTCTCATTTTCTTGTTTTGAACCAAACAAGCACAATACAAAAAATAAAAAATTTGTACTTTTTAACTTCTCAAAACTTTTCCTATAATTTTTTTAAAAAAATACAAGGAAATCAAATTTGGGATGAAAAACATTTCCTATAATTTATAGAAATGTAACCAAACACCGCCTAAGCCACTCTCTTCCACTCTCTTCGGCTCCAGAGATCTCCGACAAAACGACGGTGATTTTCAGCTTAAAATCCCCTGAAGTGACCGCACCCCATGTCCGCTCACCCCCTCTTGAAGCGCTCACCCCTTACCCTCTCCCCCACGTGGCCATCTGCAAACACACATCTGGGACCCGCTATAACTGTTACTTACTAATGGACACGTCATCACCAAAAGCCTGTTTGCTGTTTAGCGATAAGCCATTTTCCTCCTCACCTATATAATGCTCTCGCGCATCTCGCTCACTTTGATCTCTCTCTCTCATCGCCACCTTTCCCTCTCTCTAGAAAAAAATGGCAGTTTTCAAGGTAGAGCGCAAGAGCACGGCTCCGATCGACGGCCAGAAGCCAGGAACCTCGGGATTGAGGAAGAAGGTAATGCTCATTGATCTCGATTCGACCCCAATCCCCGAAAAAGGAAAGTAATTGTTTTTCTTTTTCTCTTACATTGGACCGAAATTAAAGCGATTTCCATCTCGATTCTAGGTTTTCAGATTTCGCATCATTTCCCTGTTCGATCAGTTCTTAGATCTGAGTTTCTTCAGTTAATTTTGAACTGTTGTTAGGCGCAAAGCGACCTAATTAGATTATCATAATTTTCACAAAGTTTTAAATAACTTGTTTGTGCTTGTTAGCTTTGCGAAATTTTGACGTAGTTTGATATGCCAATTAAAGTTGTCAAGTGACGCGTGTTAGATCTCCAAGTGGAGTACTTTCGTTCTTGTTCTCAATTTTAGATTTTGCATCGTGTTAATGTTTGCTCAGTCCTTTGATCTTGGATCTGCGGTTGAGAACTTTGAAGGTAAGTTTAGAATTGCTGCTTGTAGTTAGTAAATCTGGTTGATTTTGACATTTCTCTGCGAGTATACTATGCGCTGTTGCTAGGTGCGAAACTTGAGTCCACGTTTAAGGCGATCTCATGAGGATAACACAATTTTATATTTTGTTCATTATTTATCTACACTTTTGGTTAACAACTAAAGTCCTTTCCCTGTTGTTTCTAGATCTTCTGTTTAATTGTTTTGAAAACTTTGCAGTTGCAGATTTGAGATCTTGTATAATTTTATTGATGCAGTTCTATTAGATCTGTAACTCTGCCATCTACTTCAGTCAAAACCAGTGATTTCGATTGTTGATATGCTGTTAATTTTAACTTTTACTGGAGAAGTAGCGTACACTTCTACACTTCTACACTGTAATTTGGCGCGAACTTGCATCCTCATTCAAGTTGATCTCGTGAGATTATCATAACTTCAACAGTTTTTAAGATGATTTATTGGTATTCACTAGTTTTGTGAAAGGTTTAAGTAGTTTGATATGCTAATGATCATGGACCTAGATTCAATCCTGATCTCTGAAAAAAGAGAAAAAAAGTTCTTTAGATCTCATACATTTGATCAAAAGGTTTTTTCTTTCTCATTTCTAGATTT